TCCCGCCCCTTAGCCTTTCATGTACGATGTGCTGGAGCGCCAGCAAATAGCTGTGTGTAGGTGCGTGGAGGTGCGCGTGTGTGTGTGTGTGTGTGTGTGTGTGTGTGTGTGTGTTTAGGGGTATGTGTGTGTGTGTGTGTGTGTGTGGAGGTGTGACCTAGCATTACTATCCTTGTGGGGACCTATATCTGTTTACACAGTCAGGTGTGGGGACTCGCCTCCCTTATGGGGATAATCATTTAGGGTGAAGACTTGGTTAGGGTAAGGGTTAGGGTTAGGCATGTGTTGGTTATGGTTAAGGTTAGGATAGGTCTCCAGGAAATGCATATAAGTCAATGTAATGTCCCCTGAAGTGATTGAAACATTGTGTGTGTGTGTGTCAGAGTTCCCCTTAGCCGGTAATTACCGGACTATGCCCGGTAAAATATGCTGAAGACCGGCAAATCTAAATCTCTCCGGTCAAAATAATGTTCCCTTAGCACAATACCGCATCAGTTGCGCAACTTATGTGACAGTCATGAATAGTCAATTCTAATGTCTAACACTTAATGTGGAGAATGAGATGTCCTGTGTGGGTTGATTGTGCGTTGATCTGTTGGTAATGCCTCGGGGTTCCGGTGGGCATGTAAACAAATGCATAATGCTGCGCTATACTTTGCGGCCTCACCCGGTTGCATAGCGACGCTTATTGTTTAGGTGTCTTTTAATAAGCAGGTAGTCATATCATTAGCTAGAACTAGCTGGATCTGATCGATATGGACATAAACGCGAGTGAAGTCTAATCTGACGGGAGAGAGAGATCAGCTGCTGCTGACGAGTCGACACGCAGCTCTGCATGATCAGCGGTGAGCGGAACAAAACACACACTTCAGGTTAGAATATCACACGTAGCTATTTTAATGACCTCTCAAACTACCGTAACTAGTTAAAGATAAGTTTAGTTTGCTGTCGGGTCACTCATTACTGATCCGCGAGCTGCATGATACTGACGGGCTGTCAGGAGAGGGAGAGCGCTCCGTTTATTATTCCCGTGTTCTTATAAGTTACTGTACACTTTTGAATAATGTAGTTAATCTGCTATAATTAGTTTGTTTAATATCGAATCATATCAATTTGTTTTAAAGCTCAATAAATAACAAAGAAGACCTTTGACCGGCTCTTTTCTCATTTTGTCCGGAAGATTTAAACTTTAACGGACATTTTGACCGGCGAAAAAATATTCTAACGGGATCTCTGGTGTGTGTGTGTGTGTGTGTGTGTGTGTGTGTGTGTGTGTGTGTGTGTGTGTGTGTGTGTGTGTGTGTGTGTGTGTGTGTGTGTGTGTGTGTGTGTGTGTGTGTGTGTGTGTGTGTGTGTGTGTGTGTGTGTGTGTGTGTGTGTGTGTGTGTGTGTGTGTGTGTGTGTGTGTGTGTGTGTGTGTGTGTGTGTGTGTGTGTGTGTGTGTGTGTGTGTGTGTGTGTGTGTGTGTGTGTGTGTGTGTGTGTGTGTGTGTGTGTGTGTGTGTGTGTGTGTGTGTGTGTGTGTGTGTGTGTGTGTGTGTGTGTGTGTGTGTTACCCTGAGCCAGCAGCTCCTCCCCCAGCTGGATCTCCTCCAGGAAGAACTTCTGCACCGCCTCAGCGTCCTTCAAGTCGGGGAGCTGCGGGACAAACAGCAACAGGAAGTCAAACTGTTTCTGAGTGATCAATAATCAGATCTGATCTGTGAGCCACTCGTACTTTTCAAGATGCAAACGCTTATTGTGAAATTCACACTCGATACAGCACAGCTTTGGCAAGGGAAACCTTAGAGCACATGTGTCAAACTCAAGGCCCGGGGGCCAAATCAGGCCCTTGGTGGATTTAATTTCGGCCCGCAGGATAATTTCTAATTACTTTTAGATCTGGCCCGCCGGTATATTGCACGCACACCTTCACTCCCTCCTGAGGGTCTCCTCAGCTCAGAGCCTGAGCCCAAACATTGATGAACCTGCACCCAAGATGAGATGCCAAGTATCTGCTTGAACTAGCATCACAGAGCAGCACACTGAGTTCAATGGATGTTTCCTTGTGCACTTTGTTTCTTGAGACAACAGGGCATGTTTGGTTTTCTCTTTGAGGGAAATAGTTTTGTTGAAGCTGTTGTTGGCCTGTGGGAAAATGTAATCATAAGAAATGACTCCAGAAAAGCTGCAGATAGAGCCATAAGAAATGAATGCAACTGATTATTTAATGTTGTTTTTATAGGCAATAGTTTAAGCTTTGTTAGTTCCAGGTTTAATATGTGCAATAAGTTCATTTCAATAAGTTCTACTAGTTTTTTTATCTTGGCCCACTGTGTATTTGAGTTTGACGCCCCTGCCTTAGAGCCAAGGCTCCTTCAACAATTCAACACAATATAGACTAATACAGGAAGTAAAGCTTTTAAAATAAAACCTAAAAATAGTGCTTTCCAATTCTACTAAAATATTATTATTATTAGAATAATAATTAAATAATATGTGTATTAAAATAAAATAATAATATAAATAATATTTGATTAAGAATCACTTTTATCATACTAATACTAATAACACTACTACTAATAACAATAATAATAATAATAATAATAATTAATGTTGTCACATAATCTGAATTATGGATTGTATTTTAATGGAATTCTTGAATTTATGGGTTTCAAAGGGAAAGAGAAAAACAACAACAACAACAACAATATGGTAAATAAGATACAGAGATGTTTGCACAGAGATTTCCTCAGGTAAAATGTTTTATATATTTGAGAAACTAAGAAATATTTGTATATATTTTGCAACTTAATCATTTTCCTCTTACTATGAAGCACACTGTAAATGATTGACAGGAGATAAAAGGAAGCCGATAAGGACTGTTTGTGCTCACCTTTGCCATGCCCGCCCTCTCTGTGGCGACCTGCTGCTTTCTCCTTCCTGCGACAGACACAAAGAAATACAAATTAAAAACTAAGAAATGGATTTAACAACTTCCTGTAAAACAGCAAGATTTTCATTTTGTTCATGGCTTGAACTGCTCCTTTAAAATGTAAAGTAACCTTGATTTAAGAGGTTCCATCACTGGGAGATCACTTTTCTCTTTTTTGTATACAGAGCATTGAGGACACTTAACATTACGTTATGTTTCAGCATTAGGCAACAACCTCATCAATCGAGACCCAATATCTCACGAGGAAAAAGTGAGAACAGGATAATATGATTGCTTTAATTCAGGCAACAAAATGCCATAATGATCCATGAGGGATGCTGCCTGAGAGAAAACACTCTTCTTCCTTGTTATCATGACCACTAATGTTACATACTCAATGTCTAAAAGCCTTTAGTTTATTTTATTGTGTATAGATTTCTGTTTTAGAGTAGATACATATTGTACTTGTTGTACATTTGATGAAGTTACGTTGTCTACATTACTAATAAAACATGTCCCCGAAGCTGCAGAGTTTGGGTTTAGGGATGATAGGAGACCGGCTGAGGTCGATCTGAGGGACCGTTGGGGTTGGTGGGGGGTGTAAGTAGGGTTGGGAACCGAAACTCGGTTCCAGATGAGAACCGATAAGAAAATGCCGGGTACCGGGTACCCATACAAAATACACAATTTCGGTTCTGCTTAACGGTTCCTAATCGCGGTAGACCCTGTATTCCAGCGGGTCCGTCTGCACCGCGGTGCTGCGGTGACCCGGTGGAATACAGGGCGGACCTGGAGAATCACAGAACGGCCGGTCGTCAGCGGGCCGTTGACGGCCGGCTCGGTACGCTGACGGCCGGCACCGCCCTTCATTTTTTTAAACGGCATCATATAAATTGCGCTGACAGGCGACAGAGGTCCACAGTTGCCCCGCAGCGATGCTCCCCGCCCTCCCGTAGACATTTCACGAGCTCAGTCACTTCATAACACCAAAGATAGGTCGCGGTAAACACTCTGAAGTGAGGCTCCACTACACTAAAAAAGAAAAAGAAAAGGCAAAGTGTAATGCCTGTTAATAGCTTGCCACAGGCATAGCTCAGTTAAAATAAAGCACAGCTATTGTGCAATACATTTGTATTGCATGTATATTTTTTAGTAACAATTTCAGTTAAAGCTTTTAAGAATAAATATATTTTTGTTATCTAAACGTTTGACCTCTTTATTTTACAATTTTGGAATCGAAACGGGGAATCGATAAGAACCGGAATCGATAAGCAGAACCGGAATCGAAATCGGAATCGATAAATTTCAAACGATACCCATCCCTAGGTGTAAGAGAATATTTTCATCTGATCTGTTTATAGAGTTTCTTATTGTTTTATAGAATCTGTGATACTGCAAACATCTGCTTGTAGTCAGTCAAAGACCCCTGTGTAGGTTGAGGCTTGTCTGGATCTCTTTGAGACAAGTAGACTATTGTCTCACATCTGCTACTAATTAGGTATTAGGTAATTAGGTATCTCCTCGTGTTGGTTAGATGTTTTGTGTCTTTTGGGGCAGAGATTACCTTGGTGGAGCACAAGGACAGTGTGAAACTAGGATGATCTCCCGGCCGTATGTAATTGTCTGTCTCTCAATAAATATCAGTGTATTGACAGGTGAATCCAGTTTCCCTCATTTGATGATGCGCTCAACATTGCTGCAAAGAAGTTTTTACTTCACAGGGGGTGAGGAGGTCAGTGAGGTAGGGGGGGGGGCAGATGGTGGAGGGCTTTGTAAGTAAGGACCAGTCTTTTGTAGTTGATGCGGGGGGAGACGGGAAACCAGTATAGTTCAAGTTCAAGTTCTACAATGGAAATAAGTCTTTAACTATGTAGATTATATCATCCATGACATTTTACTGACATGTGTTTCCATTAAATGTAACTGAAAACGTTCATCATAATAAAGATTAGAAACAGCTTGACACATCTGTAAAGCACCAGCTTTGCTCCCTAACTATCAGAGAAAACCTGATATTTCTCAATGCCCATGCAGATCAGAGGGAGGGAAACACCAGCTGCAGTGAGAGGAGGAGCTACAGTGGAAAGAGGAGAGCTTACACGCGGCACGCCACAGGAAACGAAAGTTAAGTTAGTCAGAGAGGCAGCCACACTGCAGTCGAGACTAGTCTCCTTTTCTGTCTAAAGAAAATACAAACTGAGTTCATCAGATCTTTCTCAACAACACAGCAGAGTCTCTGTCAAACACTGGTGAGTACATCTGATTATATTTACACTGTCAACAAGAAGGATTAAAACATAACAGCTCTACTCAGATGAAAGCTGCACCACTTGTTTTTCTCTATCAACAAAACCATATATATGACACTTTAAACAGTCTCTTTGTATCAACTCTTAGTACTTTAGTAAATAATAATAATAATAATAATGCATTATATTTTTTTATTAGAGCGCTTTTCCAGGTACTCAAAGCGCTTTACAATTACACATTACACATATTAGACATGTAAGAGTCATTACTGCAGACATTACCCACAGGAGTGTCTTGCCCAAGGACACAACGGCCTGACGCAGTGGCGGCCGAGGCGGGATTCAAACTGGAGTTCCCCCCTTGATCTGATGACCAACGCTCTAACCACTGCGCCAAAACTTCCCCAACTTGAAACTGAATCTCTGTGGTAGGAGTTTTGATTCAATTGTGCTTTCCTGCTATTATTAAAAAAAATCGACAAAACATCAGTTCCTCTGCTCCATCTGTCTGGATGTATTCACTGATCCAGTCGCTATACCATGTGGACACAACTTCTGTAAAGAATGCATCACTGACCACTGGGATACAAGTGACAGGTGCCAGTGTCCCATATGTAAAAACGAGTTGTACACAAGACCTGAGCTGCACGTTAACACTTTCATCTCTGAGACGGTAGCTCAGTTCAGACAGCAACATATCATAATCCCAGTGTTTCCCCTATATACAAATAGCGACGGCTACTTTTTATTTTTTTATTAATATAATAAGTGGCGACCCTTTTTCGTTTTTGATTGTTTGTTATGTGGATTTGTAGTATTTGTCTTTGTCTTTTTCATATGGGTGTTTTAGAGTTGTACCTCCTAGATCAGGTCTCTAGTAATTGTGTGCTCAAAGTGCACCAGATTGAAGCATTTTACTTTCAAATGTTCAAAAAAATCTTCCCGGGGGGGCATACCCCCGGACCCCCTAGAGCAGTGCTTCTCAAAGTGTGGTCTGTGGACCACTGGTGGTCCGTGAGCGCCCCCTAGTGGTCCGTGAGTATATTGGTAACACTTCACATTTGAAATTAATTAATCAATTTGAGTTTTCCGCACTCTCGCGGGAATATCTCCGCAATGGAGCAAGGTTAAGTTTCACTTTCGATTGCATGATATAGCCCAGCGCAACACCTTCATCACACATGTTGCCACTTGTTTGTACCATTTTCAGGCGATTTGTAATCTGTTCTAGAAAAACGATGTGGTTTTTGATATTTGTGGAGTTAGGTGGTCCGCGAGTGTTTTTTTATTGGTTAAGTGGTCCTTGGTATGAAAACGTTTGAGAAACACTGCCCGAGAGCAGTGGTTCTCAAATGGGGGTACGCGGACCCCTAGGGGTATGTTTGAGTACTGCAGGGGGTACGTGAGATTTATTTTATGTTAATAAAAAAACATAATTAATGCATTTAAACAAACTTCTAATAGTAGATGAACTACTTTATTCAAAGGTTTACAGTAACTCTGGATAATAAAATGGGAAAAATAAACAGGGCGATCTCTTTTCCTCTCCCTCTCCTGACAGCCCATCAGTCTCGTGCAACTCGCTGAACCTGTAATATAAGTGACCCGACAGTAAAGAATACATATATTTATAACTAGTTTAGCTAGTTCAAGAGTAGATTTACCAGATTTACCAGTGTTAGGTCTAACTCTTAGTGTATTTTGGTCCGCTCACCGGTCCGTCACAGCGGCGGAGCTGTGATCATGCAGAGCTGCGTGTTCTCCGTCAGCAGCAGCTGATCTGATCTCTGATCTCTGATCTCTCTCTCGCGTCCGGTTATACTTCACTCGCGTTTTTGTCCAAATCTATCAGATCTAGCTAGTTATAGCTAATGATATGACTGCCTGCTTATCGAATAACCTAAACAATAAGCGTTGCTTGGCAACGGCGTGTGGCCGCAAAGTATAGCGCAGCATTATGCATATGTTTATATGAGGGGTAAAAATCCCATGCTCATAAAATGCTCATATATTTGTTTCTCTTCATTCCCCACGCCCGAAAATAAATAAATATACCAATTTTAGGAAAAGTATCGAAGTTAGAGCAGTGTGGGTATTATATGAACAGAGTTACACATTTTTCAAAACGCGAAGTATAATAACTGCAGTTTGCCTCGCTGTCACAGAGAATGACAAAGATCCTCAGTGAAGCAAAGGGCCCATGTTTCACTACATTGTAAGTACAACTTATTAAAAAGATCAGTTCAATGCAACTAATGTTGTCTTAGTGTTATTGCATGATGTTAAAATTGGTTTGCCATGAATATAGTGATGGATTGTAAACATTTGAAATGTAGCTTACGTTTTTTCTCAGTTACAATGTTGTTGTTTTAATAAATCAGACACTGATGGTGCAGCGCTGTACTGTACCTCTTTATATAGGCATTTTGTCCCTAACAAATTGTGTTTGCGCTGATCAGGGGGTACTTGGCGGAATATTTTTTTCAAAGGGGGTACATTATTGAAAAAAGTTTGAGAACCACTGCCCGAGAGGATGTGACGTCCACCCCCCAATTAAAACATGTTCATACATTACAGAATACATTTACATTACTCGCCTAGGGCAGCAAATTGGCTAGAATAACCAACTGGTACTAGGCCTCAAGAGCCTTTCTTGTGCTGGCAGACACATAGAAACAAATTGGCAGGGCGCACTTGTAGGGGTGTTGAAAATAATCGTTTCTACGATGCATTGCGATGCGGACGTGGACGATTCGGTATCGATGCAGTGATGGAAGATAATCGATTATAGCGTAGTAACGTTGCTTCCTGATTTTCCAAATCGGTCTGTGACGCAGAGATCAGGGAACAGACGTGACAGCGGCACAGAAACACCAAACATGGAGCAGTCTGCTTTATCCACCAACACAAGAACACCAGTCCAGAACCAACAGCAGAAGGACCCGCTCTGAATCACTCCGTGACTTTGCGGCTCAGAGACACAGGGATTTATGTTTTTCAAAAATAATCGCGTTACAATCATGTCAGGTTTTTGGTGGATTTAATTAAGTCTTGGATTGCAGAGTATGAATGCCCTCTAGTAATTTTCAGACGATATATACGTGTGTAAAGTTTGTGAAGGCAGGAGGAAAAAAGCTTCCGCGATCACCGTCTCCTCTGTTCCTCTAAGCCCCGCCCCCTCCCTGAAAATAATGAGTGACAGGCTGATAGTGACCCGATAGAAACTTTATTATTCACTTAATCACTGAGATATAATGAAGCTAACTTAATCTCATACATTCATAGGATTTATGCAACAGTAAGACAGAGAATGTAAGTGTGCACCCACATGCAGTATTTTAGTTGTTATATGCTGTTGTAAATACTCCTGTTGTCTGCTGTGTTCAGACTCAAGTCCTGTGTGTGATGCCACATTCAGGACATTCAGTGTCCTTTTTTTAACAGAAGGCCAATGCTAGAAGCTGCAGCTAGACTGCAGAAGCATTATTTTTTTGTTTTTGAGGATGGAACAATTTCACACAGATATAGGGAGGCTAGACCTATACAATTCATTTATTTTGGTTTATAAATCAATGTCAAGACATTTATGTTATTGATTTCTGAAGCACTTTCTAAATAATAAAAAGAGAGTTCATATGTATTTACTGCATGTATGCATTGATGAAAAATAAGCCATGTGCAGTAATATAGAACATTGAGGATGCAACGCATTGGTATGAATCGTGATGCATCGTGATGCATCGGGATATCGAATTGAATCGAATCGTTGACAGGATAATCGTAATCGAATCGTGAGACCAGTGAAGATGCACAGCCCTAACGTGCACACACTAAAACATTCCACGCGCTCCGCGCTCACATAATGCTAGGCATTATGCTACACTGATAATCCTTAAATCAAACTTAACTGTTTCGACACTGGAGACAATTCTGTTTCTCTATAAATAAATATTAAACTCATATAGTCGTCAGCTCTTACTCAACTACACATCAGGGTCTCTGCTGCAAGGCTGAGTAGAGCTGTCAATATTTAACTATAACTGTATTTTTTTTGTTTGAAGACAATCTTGCTACACCTTTTGTGCAAATGTTGCTGCATGTAATTAAAAGTATAACATTTTAACTACATATACTATCATTTGATTTGAATTAGGGCTGCACGATATTGGAAAAAACTGTTTTTTCCCCCCCTGCGATATATATTGCGATATGAAAAAATACAGGAATGGAAGAAAAGACAGTTTTTTTTTTGTCCGCAAACCATCCTTTCTTGAAATTGAATGCTATACAATTGGTATTTTTCTAACTATATTTAACCGGATCAAGGATTTTAGTTACGGACGTCTGGATCTTAAGTTATCAGAGCAACAAGCTGAGCTAGCTCGGTTAGCAGCGCCGAACTGCCATGGAGAAACACATGAAACTACTTTATTCAGTGTTTTTACCTTTAATCACCAGGTCCGTTTGCTTTGGAGATTTGATTGTGATTGGTGGTTTGCTGTGCATGCAGAGCCTGCTTGTCACTCACTCAAGTACCCCTGACATGAGAGCAGCACGAGTTTTCCTTTTGTAGCAAGCAGCAAAATAATTGTAACATGACGTGTTTGAGTTAATTTGCCTTCTTAATATCACACATCCTAAAAAATAAAAGGAAAAAATTGCACGTCCTGCGATGTGGCTATCGCGCATATCGCGATTATCGTCACGACACGATATATCGTGCAGCCCTAATTTGAATCACAATGCACACTAACTTACATAACGAACTTAAGAGTCAACATGGAGGGCATTCAAATTGCAATGTTCAAAGCAACAGCTAACAATTGAGCAGCCGGTTAATTTCTAGTTTTTAAAAAAAAATTAACTATACCAGTGTTAGTCAGACCCAAAGAATGATACCCTGATGTTGGGGATGCCCTGATTCAATACACTGGATTCAATACTAAACTTATTCATCTATTCAGGTATCTGGAAAGCGTCACCAATCCTCTTTAAATATAGTTTTCTGTTTTTTTACATTTTATTTTAAGTGGTAAAAAATTCCTATGTGTGCATTACATTCGCAATATGTCTGTATATAACACATCTATGTCTACTTTTGTTTTCAATGTGCAGATATGGCTAGCTGTCTTCTATCAGAAGATCAGTTTCTCTGCTCCGTCTGTCTGGATTTGTTCACTGTTCCAGTCACTATACCATGTGGACACAACTTCTGCAAGAACTGCATCACTGAACACTGGGATACAAGTGAAAAGTGCCGGTGTCCCTTGTGTATGGAGGCGTTTACCATAAGACCTGGTTTGAGAGTCAACACTTTACTTTCTGAAACGGTTGCTAAGTTCATAGAGGAAGCTAAACAGGAAGCTGAACAGGAAGCTAGAAGCAGCAGCAGCTCAGAGCAACAAGTCTTCAAACCAGGGGAAGTTCCCTGTGACATCTGCACTGAAACCAAACTGAAGGCCCTGAAGTCCTGCCTGGTGTGTCGGACCTCATACTGTGAGACTCACCTGGAGCCTCATCTGACAGCCTCAGGCCTGAAAAGACATCAGTTGATCGACCCTGTGGAGAAGCTGGAAGACAGGATGTGTCCGAAGCACGATAAACCTCTGGAGCTGTTCTGTAAGACCGACCAGACATGTGTCTGCATTCTCTGCCATGTTTCAAACCACAAGATGCATGATGTGGTTCCTCTGAAAGAAGGATATGATGAAAAGAAGGCAGCGATGGTGAAGGCAGATGCTGAATCTCAGCAGATGATCCAGACAAGAAGAAAGAAGATCAAGGAGTTCAAAGAATCAGTTGACTTGAGTGAAAAAGATGCAGACAGAGAGATAACAGAAGGTGTTCAAGTATTAACTGCTCTGAGGGAGTCTGTTGAGAGAGGACTGAACCAACTTATCGACACGGTTAGAATGAAGCAGAAAACAACAGAAAAACAGGCCAAGACTTTCATCAAAGACCTAGAGCAAGAAATCTCTACGCTGAAAAAGAGAAGCGCTGAGATAGAGCGTCTTTCACACTGTGATGATCACCTTCATTTTCTCCAAGGTGTCCAGTCCCTAAAAATCCAACACCGACCACCCACCAAGAACTGGACAAATATCAGCTTTCATCCATCATATGAGGGCAGTGTGAGGAGAGCTGTGGCTGAGTTGAAAGACTCAATAAGTGCCCCCGTAACACTGACTTTTGACCGCCCTGTGAAAATGAAAAAAATGAAGAAAAAAAAACCTTTCCTGGCTGACGGAATAGGCGGAACTAACGCGATTCTAGTCTGACCCATTAGAGCGTAAAAACTGTAACTATAAGTATCTGAAACAAATATCAATAACTGTATTGCATTGTTTTCTTATGCGCAATTACTTAATACTAGGGGTGTAACAGTTCACAAACATTTCGGTTCGGTACGTACCTCGATTTTTAGGTCACGGTTCGGTTCGGTACGTTTTCGGTACAGCAGAAAAACTTATCACAAAACATTAAAAAAATGTTGTTTTTTTTATTATTATTATTAAACTGTGAATAATGTTTTCACTCAAATAAATACTAAATATAATAAAATAAACATTAAGGTGCAGCATTTCGATGAACTGAAATAATCTGTATTTGAACTGTACTAGTACCTAAGCAGCCAGTTTGACATTAGGACTTGCTTGTCATTGTATTTTCATGTTTTTTAAAGAAAGATGAACTTGTCCACATTGCTTGCCGAAAGGGCAGATCAATTAAATATCGTCCGCCACAAATGGATCTCATAAAAAAATTATTATTTTTATTTACTTTTATTTTTATTTTGGTGGTCTAATGGATAGTGAGGTGGGCTGATTATCGGAAGGTTGCAAGTTCAAATCCCGCCTGGAACACCACTACTAGTGTGCCTTTGAGTAAGGCACTTAGCCCTCAGTTACTCCAAGAAGAATGTCCCTGTAATTGGCCATTGTAAGTCGCTCTGGAATAAGGCGTCTGCTAAATGCCTAAATTGTAAATTATATTTTTGGGAGAATAAACCCCACAGATCCTCAACTCCGGTTTGTCTCACTCATTAACAACGCAACACAGAGCAACAAGAACATTGTCTACAGTAGCCATGAACTTGCATGTATTTCCTTATTTGAGGGGGAGGGTGGATGCGTGGGCCACCTGAATAGGTTAAGGGGCCTTTGGCTTTTCTTGCCGGGGGGGGGTGCGGTGCCCCCACAAATAATATAGGCCTACAGCAGCAGCAGCAGCAGCAGCAGCAGCTGTTATATAAAGAATGTTGAATAGGTCTAATGATTTATGCTCATCATTTGCTCCTGTGCCTGCCTTCCTTAGATCCATTCCTAAGGTCCAACAATTTGTGGAAGAAGTGGTCCCACAGTACAGTCCTTCAGACTTCAAAAGTCATTTCCGATTGTCCAGGGGACATGTGGAAGTATGTGTGTGTGTATATATATATATATATATATATAAATAAAATAAAATATGTATTATCTGGACTGGTGATATTAAAAGCCATTTATTCCTTTCTACCAAACAGGATGTGATGACGACTATTGGCCCGTTCTACTTGAACAGACAGCACAGTAAAGTGGCATTTCAAAACAGTGTCCTTGCCTGTCTGTGGACTCTATCAAACCAGGAGTCCTATAGGGGGGTTGCTGATCGTTTTAATATCACCAAATCCACTGTCTGCCTGCATCTCCATGAATTCTGTAGTCTTGTCACTAGGTATTTGTGTCACCACATTTCCTGGCCCACAGGGCAAGCCCTACATAATTCTGAGTTAGGATTTCGTGCAGCAGGATTTCCCAACACTGTCTGTGCGGTAGATGGATGCCACATTCCTATTGTGAAACCACACTGTGAGAACCCAGTAGCATACATCAACAGAAAACAGTTTTATTCTGTTGTGCTTACTGGGTTCTGTGACAGTGAACGGCGATTCTGTCACGTTAATGTGGGCCACCCTGGTAGCTGGCATGATGCACGGGCATTCCGGTTGTCTGCTATTGGAAGGCTGCTTGATGAAGATCCCCAGTCCCTGTAGTCCATGGGCCCATACCTGGATTTCCACTTATCGGTACCACCCAAGGTGGCACATTTTAGTGAAGTGTTTTCAAGTGGCATATATCTATAGATGATATTTTGGTATGATAGACATTCCAGAGTGGTAGCTTAGTCATAGAAATCAATCAGCTACATATAACTCAAATACCAACATGAAGTCAACCATGTAATGGCTAATGCATTGTTCTTATGGTGTTGTTTAGTTAGACAGGTCATTCTAAAGTAACTTGGACAATATTTTAGCCAAATAAAATTATTATTACTTGAAAAAAAAAAACATAAAACATGGAACTGCATAACATAGTTACATGTACATGTTTGTAGTGTCTAGCTTTGACCAGCCAACTAGACAAAGTCAACTATACTACCAGTTTTACATGTATAACTCCTTCACAAGGTCAAGAAATATTCATGGGGGCAAGTTTGATTTACTTACATATTTACCCAGTACTTGAGTATACATCAGTTTATACTCATCGACAGTGACTTGCCATGCACTTCATGGGTACTATACATTCATCTGAAGTTGTACCGGTATGACTATAAAGTCCAGACCATTGCCTAAACAAAACATTGTCAGTTATCTTCATCATCAGTGTCAGACTCGTCCAGTTCCACTGCGACTTCGTCCTCATCTTCACTTCTCTGGTTGGTGCATGTCTGCAGTTTGCACATGTCCGTGCACTTCAGTTGGTTCTCCAGGCACACACAGGCTGGAGGTTTGCAGATATGTGCACACTTGCAGGACATCAGCTGCAATACTGCATCAGGTGCCGGTGATCCCTGCATCCATTCTATTTCCAGACTGCCATCGTCATCTGTAGTCCAGCCACATTCCTTGGGGTCTGGCACAACAGGTTCACTCACAAGACAGCGTCGCCAAATCGCGGTCTGATAGTTCGCGCGGAGGACGTGCATGTGCAAGCAATCCTTGCATGGTGGCAGTTGGCTGGATTCCACCTCTCCCCGTTGTGCACAGAAGAGTTGGTAGCGGAGTTCATTGACATCAGAGGTGGTGGATGAGGATGCATACAACCGGCAAACAAAGTCCTGCATCTTATCAAATAGGTCAGCAGATACATCCCATGCTTCACCAAGACGCTTGAAGGCCTCCTGGTAGGTCTCATTCTCCTTCAGATGCTTCAGTGCACTTAACTTTCCACGACCAGCGAATGCACTGACCGTGTCACACCCAGTGAGAGCATGTAGTCCAACAAGACCTTGGCAGACTTCCTCGCCCAGGGAGCTCGCTAGTTTACCAATGTCTATGTATCGTGTACGATTCTGTGTACTACACTTCTGATACAGAGGGCAGGCCATCGTCTTGCTGAAGCAAAGGCACAGTATCAGCACATCAGTGTCTTCAGCTGTGATGATTATGGACCCATAACCATCACCTGAAGCATGTCTGGCATGAAGTAGCATGCGCGTATCAGCTTCTTCTTGGGTTGATCTCAGATCTTGGATTTCATGCCAGTGATCCTTGGTGATCAGGTAGCATGCCTCGCCACAGGTCACGTACAGTGACTTGTCCTGGAGCCTCTCTCCAGTAAAGATGCTTCTGCACTTCCTATGGTAGGTGACAGGTGGTATGACATAATCTGGCAAGTCCTTTGCGATGTCTAAGATCGGTGCATGCTGTCTGATTTCTGCTGCTCTCAGCAGGGTTTTCCAGCAGGGTTGAGTCTTCATCTTGAGATGTGCAATGGATGAGGCACTCCAGGCGTGGCCGCTTTGGTGCCATGCCGCTGGGTCCTGCCTCTGGGACTGAAATATTAACTTAATCTTAACCATACATCTTTACTAAAAATGTATGTCTACATACCGGTACATCAGACGCAGTGTCCGATAACATGTAAAATGGCAATAACATGCGGCCCCAATAACATTATCTGAAAAGCAACAAAATGAGTTTCTTCCCCAAAAATCTGAAAATATATTCCAAATAGAACATACAAAGCTTATATAATATTCATTCAGGCAAGTTTCATTACCATTTTCAACATAGCAGGGACAAACACAGAACATACCGCCAAACTTTGTAAGTGACAAAATGCGTTATTTGATCAATAATGGGGTAGCATGTAACTCCGCTAAGCTACTCAGTTGGAAAGTCTATCATGGCTTAATGTACTTATATGGACCCTATGAACAAAATGGTACCACAAATGTTTTGCCACCTCGGGTGGTACCGATATTTGGTCTGGCCCATGGACTATAGGTCCGGGCGGTGGAGTCCGTCGTTATAACTGGAGATCAAGGAATGCAGCGAAACGCAGACTTGGTTCGCCTGCTGTAGTATTAGCTAAATAAATTATGTTGAACAAGGCTTATTAAGCTGAACATCGCCACAATTGTTCTGCTATGTATCGGTACTTATTTTCTTAACGTGTGAATGACAAGCATTAAGAATAACAAAATATAGCTAATTCTCTTGCAGATTGTCTCCTTTGATTATGAATGTAACGTTTGTATAGGGGAACTACACTGTTAGCAGTAACTTGGTATGCATGTATTTCATGTTAGCTTAGCTTCTTAGCCTGAGCTAGCTCTGTTTACTTCCAGTTCGGAGGCAGCAGGTCCCGCCTCGGCTCCGCCTCTTTGCCCTTATTTGGAGCAGGCGGGATTAGACTCTGACGTTGCTGTCAAGCAGTCAGTGGTTGACTCCGCCTACTAAGGGCTTCTCGGCAACTCTGCAGAATCCTATGGGTGACGTCACGGACACTACGTCCATTTATATATACAGTCTATGGTCACACCACACGTGCGATTGATTTAATGGCGATATACAGAACAGTGAGAACAACACAACTAAAGATGAACAAAGCGGCATGTTCAAAGAAGAGTTCCTCGTCGCTATTATTAATACAGGCTACATGATGGTGGTTTATTTTTTGTTATTTTCTAAAGTGCCTGCCATTACCTTTATTTGAAGATGCGTGATGCGCGCACACGTGAAGTAGGCTATTTATTGAATGTATTGCAATGCTGCTATTATTAATACAAGCTACATGATGGTGGTTTATTTGTTGCTATTGCGTTGTACTGTTCTACCTGAAGAGCCCTTTTGTACCATGTAGCCTACATGTTCCAGTAAAAGAAAACAACGGAATTACATTTGTCTGTGTTTTTTTCTCTCTCTCCCGCCCCCCGCGGGGGTGGGTGGGGGGATAATCGATTAACATTCGCCAGGGCTGTCTGATTTTCGAATTTGATCATGGTCAGTTTCTGGCATCCCTAATATTAAGGTACACAACTTCACCATCAACTAGTTGTTCATTAACTTGCATATTAGCAGGGTATTGGCTCTTTATTATAAAACACGAATTAATGCCTTATTCTGCAATAAGCCATTAGTTGAGTTTTTCCTCAATAACCTAATTAGTTCTTATTTATTGCAAG